TTTTAAGGACAGAGTTTTGTTTATGTAAAAAGGGAGGAGGGGGTGGGTAAGTTTCTAAATAAACTGCAGTGCTGCATCATAGGAATTATTACTTATTTAATCATTAATTAAATTTAATTCTCTATTGAAGACATACTATTTCAATGTGGCATGTCATAAGTGATATTTAGTTATATAGTTTTTATTCAAGGCTGAGTATTTAAATTTTTATCTTACATTTATATTTTATTTTATTATACTCTTTTTTTTATTGTGCATTTGATCATATGTGCATGTAAAATGCGCGTTACAAACAATAAAGATTATTATCATTATTATTATTAATTATTATTATGAGATAATGTGGTTTTATCAACTGGGTTGATAATGTAAACTGGCCACAGTGTAGAGTTACCAAAGCTCAGGTTTCAAGCATTGGTCCCATATCAGCATCATTGTTAAAGGTTATGTTTGTTTTTCTGTCCTTAGGAAGCCTGTGTTCAAGGCAATTTAATTGCCATCTGTCTGGAGCAGCTGACTGATCCCCACCCTCTATTGCGACAGTGGCTTGCTATCTGTCTTGGTCGGGTGTGGTACCATTATGAAGCTGCCAGGTGGTGTGCAGTAAGGGACAGTGCCCCTGACAAACTGTACTGCCTTCTTTCTGATCCTCTTCCAGAGGTAAGAGGCCTGGTGAAGTATAGAAGAGGCTCATTTTGACCAACGTAGTAACTCGATACTTTTACCAATTGATTGAATAGAATCAAGATACATTTCGATGACCTGCAAATTGAACGTAAGCTATTAGGGCATCTCAAACCACTCCAACCAAAAGAACGAGTTCAACAACAGTTTTTTTTTTGTTTGTTTATGATGCAGTTTTTCATGCTATTTCTTTTCAACCAGAACTGAAAAAAAATTGCTGTCAATAATTATAATAATTATACCTAAATTTTCACAACATTGGTAAAGGTGTCAAAATCCCACGAGTACTTGACATGATACGATCTTTGAGACGCTACATGAAGGTCACGATTTTTAACCCTCCAAATTAAAGCGTAAAGTTTTCGAGCACAACTTTGGCAAACTATTATTATCTTCTCCTTCCAGAGCCTTCTGAGTTCCTTCTACGTCATTATTTTACTTTCATTTATTAGTTACTGAGCCGATATCTCTGCCTTTTCAAATTGAAGTTTATCTTGCATGTAGTAAAAACAGACTCAAAACATCTTGTACGCGCTCCTTTACTTAATTAGAGGATTATTTTCATCAAGGTACGCGCTGCAGCGGTGTTTGCCTTGGGACGATTTGTAGCCAACAGTGGGGACAGATCTGACCAAGCCAATCAGATTGACTTTGGAGTGGCCATGACTCTGACCCAACAGTCCTTGGATGGAAGTCCGCTCGTTAGAAAGGTATCTCGTCAATTTTCTCGCTAGTAAACCTGTTTACGAAAACCCTGTGGATCTCTCTTGAATGGAATCATCTCTCGATTTTATGTAGTAAAACCAAAACCAAATTAATAACGACAACCGATCGGAAGAAAGGAAAATACCTTTTAGAGTCAATGAGAACTCAAAGTGAAAACGACCAAACTGCCTAAAGCGCGGGAAAACGCGGGTGACCAAGTTGTGATTGGTGTTAGTTGCTTCTGATTGGTTGAGTTGAATGTTCTTATCCAATCACAGAGTGAAATACAGCAAAACCAATGCAATCTCATTACTTGCGACAGTCAATCGAAAATTGTTCTAATCTAAGGGTTGCTTTGGTTATTTCAGGAACTGGTTGTCGCTCTCCACGGACTGGTGCTGCAGTTTGAAACCAACTTTGGCGTGGTGGCTCTGCAATTCTTAGAAGAAGACCGTCAAAGGGAGAATGCACCCCCAGCAGCGGCAATTACACCCAGTGGCTGGATTGTGGTCGGCTCTGGCCCTTCTTCAGGATTGGAGCCCATTACGCACATGAGCCCCAGCAGTGGAGTCAAGAACACCAAAGGAATACGCTCCAGCTTTTCAACGTCGAATCTCAATACTTTCGCTGCTAATCCTCCTGTTGTTAGTGGTGAGGAATTTTCAAACTTGTATCTCACTAGGACTTTTTATTTCTTACAGAGGGCTGTGTTGTTAAAGGAGTATAGCGGTTTGCTTGCGAGAAGGCCCTCATAATTAGCACCGCAGGGCGCTCTTTTTTTCTGCCCGGGAAGATTTGAGACGAGTCGGGGAGAGGTTTGGCGGGGGTGTGGCACTAATAAAAAGGCGCTGGACACCTTGCGGACCTCTCGCAGACTCGTTTTACTCGAGGCCTCTTCTTTTCTGCCAATCACGAGTCCAGGATCATTTTGGCTCCTTGTTAGCGGTATGGTCGCCAATTCCGCGGGCAAGGAAACGTTGGTGTAGCGCTAATAATGACGGCCATTTCGCATTCTAGAAAGTGGTTTGTTACGTCAGAGGTGACGAAAAATTTTTCAGGAAGGAGTAACCTGTTGAGGAATAGAAAAATGTCACACTAAATTGTAAAGACGGCTTGGATCATTGCTGCAATATTCTTCTTCTGCTATCTAATTGGTAACCTCCCCCCTCGCCCCACCCCTACGAAAAACGTTAATGTTGCTACATTATTGCTGACTTGTAACTTTATTCAATGAGAGAAGGAGAGGGTAGGTGTCTCATTTATTTGTTTCATCTATAGAATAGAAAACATAATGGTATGATTACTTGAACAAAGTTTGGAGTCACCTGTTACTTGAACAAAGTTTAGCCGTTGTGTAACAAAACCGAGTCGTAGGTTTGGGTTAGACCTCGTTTAAATTATCGGCCCAGTAACTCTTAACTCTAAAACATGGTTACAATTTTGTGTTTTACAGGCCAGCATATGTCATCGTCACTAATGACTTACAGTAGTAGTAGTGGCAGTTCTGGTAGCAATGATTTTATTCCTGGCATGAAAGATCTGCGGCGGACAGGCTCACAAAATTCACTGTCTTCAAGCTTTCAGTCTAATGTTTATGCTAACGTATGGAAGGTAAGTATTTGGTTAATTGTAATTATCTGTTACTAGATAATTATGCCTAACGAAAGCAAATTATGTTTAATTTTCCTTCAACCGTCTCACGGCAGGCCAACGAATTGAAAGTAAGTGTAACTTTTGAAGGTTTCAATAAGCTCAAAAGTATCTCGATCTTTGATGTGTCATTGGATGGTGAATGCTTGCTCAAGTTAACCCTTTTACTCTTAAGATAAATTCTCCCCTCCTGCTGTGACACATTTCCTTGTAAAGTGGTGACAAGAATTTGGTGTTAGATCATGATGACAACTTCTACCTGATAAGTTTGAGTATTCTTATTACCTGTTTGCTGGGTAATGTATGGATATTATAGGGAGAAGTTACATGTGAATCACTTCTGGGAGTTTAAGGGTTAATTCAAGATGAGACCAAATTTTTAAAGTTTCTGATGCAGGCTGGAAGCTCTCACATAAAGCGATCAATAAAATTTTGGCAGTTTTTTAATGCTCAACATGACGTTCGCATGAATTCGGTTTTGTTACTCTATTAGTTTCTTTTCCAGAATCACTGATGACTCTTTGGGTTCAGAGAAAAACTGATGAAATTGTTTGATTCTGCAGGCTCTGCTCAATCTGTCAGTTGATCCATTTGTGGGTGTTGCAGATCTCGCCAAAAAGATCGTAAATAGCATAACTTTGAAGGTTGGTTTGTATTACAAGCATTAATTTTGAAATCTGTGTCGATATCAGTGTTAATAATGCATTGAAAAAGTATTTCCGGGTGTTAAACTTCCTGCTCGCTGGAACTGCTCTCTCTGCTGATTCTTTATATTTGTTATTCATATTTTCCTATCAACCTTCTTGAGGTAAATGAAAGCTTTTTCTGTTACGTAGGCCACCATTGCTGCTTGCCCCAAAAGGATCGCACAGACGCCGTCATCCAGCCTTTCTACTTCTGCCCCGTCATCACCCGGGAGATTTCCGTACCACGCGGGGTCAGAGTGAGTGAAATTAAACAATCTTTACTGGGCGTTAAACTTTTTACGTTTTTCGATTATATGGCATAAACCCAAAAGCAGTATTTTTACAACGGCCAATAAGATAACAAGGAAAGTACCACAAGGAGCCGATGAACATTTGCAGTAACTAGACTGTGGTAGCGCGGGAAATTGAGAGTGATCACGTGACGATTGGCTGTAGTCTTACTTTTGATTGGTTAGAAAGGTCGCGCATGTCGACTGTGTCGTAAAACTGAAACCAAAGTAATCAGAAAAAAGGGAGATACCTTTCAGTGCCAATGAAAAGTCAAAGTAAAAACAACCAACCTACCAAAAGAGCGGGAAAACGCGACTACCAAGTCATGAGTTGTTTTAGTTTTGCATCTAATTGGTAGAGTGAGAGACGCGAATTTACTGGACCGATCACAGAGCGAAGTGATGCAAAAGCAAAGCAATCCCAGATAACTTTTGACACAGTTGAAAATTGCTCTAAACCAGCGTATTCTTTGAAACAATCAATCAGAAGTATTCATATTTATTGAGATCGGCTACTTTAGATCTTAAAGTTTTATAGCGTTCAGTTTTTAACTTGTTTGTTCCTTTTTGTTGATCTAGCCCGTGTATGTCTCCTCCCCCTCATAGCAACTCCAATGAAACGCCTCGTATAATGAAAATGGATCCTAACCAGTCCAAAGGCTCTAACCCCGGTCCCCTTGGGGCAGCATTTCCTCACTCGTACGAGTTCCATACCAAACGGAAAATGTTCGACAAAGGTCCTGAGGTGGGTTATGTGTGTCTTAAGTATTTAATTACGATTACCTTGTTGCTTGTATGACTTGGTCCCGGCATCGATTTGACGTTCAGAAAGATTATCAGTTTATGCGACGATAGTTAATTTCGATCTTCTGTTCATGTGCAACTGAATCCTTGAAAAAAAAACTCAAGAGGTCATAACTAATCTACTCAAGGTACTTAAAGTGATGTGATGTGATAAACTTTATTTATTTAGGGAAGCTCGTTCAGCGACAAGGCAGGTATCCAGAGGGGCCTTGAAGTTGAAACTAATAATACTGTCTTAAAATAAAAATTACTAAATCCATGTAACTAATATATTCCTAAAATTATATAAGGAACAATGAAAGATTTAAAAAATTCGCATGCAGTCCTATAGGTGATAAAATTTAAAATGGAAGTTTTAAAACTTATAGATTTTAAATCGATGCTTTAAAGTCTGCAAGGACTCAGCTTGCTTAGAGGCATAAGGCAAAGAATTTTAAAAAGTCGATCCTTGGTATCTAAAAGTTCTGTTTCCCATGCGTAGATTTGGTTTGGGCTGATGAATGTCGTCCTTCCTTCTTGCTTTATGTAAGTGTCATTGGAGAGGTGGAGAAGATTAATCAGAATGGGAAATGATGAACTTGAAAATGTCGGCTTCATGTTTTCAAGGTGCTTAACCTTCCATGTTGCCCCTCCGGGTAGCCTTTCAACCGGCAATATTTTGATCTAATCTTTATCATCTTTTGATTTTTTTTACAGCATTCGAAACAGCCAAGTAGCGCAAGTGAAGATAACGACCAAGAATCCGACGAAGAAACAGGCTCCTCCAAACCTCCAATGGTCACCACTAACTTTGCTGACTGGTGTGCCAGCTACTTTGCTCAATCTGTTACCAAGGTAATCCAGCTCAGACAAATGTGAAGCTGCCTTGTAGAGCAAAGGTCATTAAGGGTCTCCCTTCTCCACTTCTTCCTTTCCTGAACTTTTGAGTGTGGTCCAGGTGTGGCCAGCCCCAATTCTTAATCTCAGCTCAAACATGTTGCCGCTAGGTGTTTTTTGGGCGTCCTCTTTTCGTTCTGCCTTGGGGATTCCATTTCAAGGCTTGCCCAGTTGTACTGTAAGGCTGTCATGAGGGCAAGGATTTGACGCCGCAAATAAATTAACGAATCGTCTTAAAAATGCAGTTGATGAGTATGTTTTTGTTGTAGGTACCAGAAGAACATGATCCTCAAAGTCACCTGCACTTCGAAAGAGAGTGGAGATTTGAAAGAAACTCAAAAGTACGGTGGGAGGCGGCTAAACAACAAGCTAAAATAGGTAATATGCATACCAGCGCAACTTCAAATTGAGCGTCAAAAGTGATTCGAGACCTCTTTGGTTTTGCCATACTTTGTGTGTGAACATAATGTGGAGAATTTTGTTGTTAACCGTCCTTCGTTCTTTCAGCTTCAGGAAAAATTGATGATCAGATATTTATTAATAAGAATGTGAGTGCGCCAGGGGTGTTGAGATTTCACCCGTATGAACCACACCTAGCTGTTGCTGATAGGGGTGGGGTGAGGTACGTATGTCAGTTTACTATCGGCACGATGTTTTCTCCTAGGCAGGAGAGGTACAGGCTAAGAAACTAAATTCCCCTCAGAGGTAGAAGTAAAAGTCAGTTCTTCTCAAGATGTTTTCAGTAATATTTTCGTGAAGTTGAGGTGACTCTGAACTGTATCAATAGAGTATTTGTAACTTTGCAGAAAGATGAATGAAAATATTGAGTAGAATTCACTAATAGAATGAGGGGGTCGCCTAACTCGTTTTTGAGTTGCAGGCACATTAAATTATAATTTAGGGAGTTTCTAAGAGGCCGTAGTATTGCCATGGAAACCTTACGTCAAGAATGTTCAACATTGTTCGAAGTTGTTAGGAATTTGTTTTCATTCTATTTGTAGCGAGACAAACGAAAAAAGTGTGGGGGCTTCGATCCATTGACGGATTGTTGTTTACAAAAAACACGAAACCATTTTTAGCCATTCCAAGGAGTCATCTGTGGCTCAGTGTGGTTTGGGAAAGATGTAGGAGAAAAACCATAACTTGCATGGGACCAAAATTGAAAATGTTTCCCTTTCTTGTTATTTTGCAGTATCTGGAATTGGGCGGAGGGAGTGAAAATAAACTACATTCCCAACAACAATCCTAAAGTGTCGCGCATCACGAGCATGCAATTCCTCAACGCACATGACTTGACGCTGTTGTTAACAGGAACCGGTAAGGATTGAATTTATCCTCCCCTCCCTCCTCAGAACCGATTCCGACTGAGTTCTGAGTTGTCACTTTGCTGAAAAATGATCCAAGGTCACTTGCGCTTAACTGAAACGGAGTTGAATTAACTGTTTGTTTCTTTGTGTTAACAACCTTGTAGACGATGGCTCCGTACGAGTATGGGGAAATATCGAGGGAGAAAATTACGGCGACAAAAGTCTGGAAATGGTGACAGCATGGCAAGCTTTGTCCGGGATGCTTCCGTCCACTCGAGGTTTGTAAAAAAAAGTTGGTGTGATATCATGGTGAAAGTATTGAGATTATGCTTGTTAATAAGTTGAATCGGGTTGTTTTCGCCTTGTGACTGCTGAAGTTGGTTAAGATATAAAAAGTGAGCCTCTGAGAAGAGTCTTTTTTGGCTCTGACGCGATTTTTCTGTAGACCAACTACAGTTAGAGGAATAGCAAGTTGTCTTAGAAACAACCACACAAGCGAGTAAGTCGCGGAGTTTGAAAACCATAGAAAATTGTTGATAAAATACAAAACGAAATGGTAAATTAGCGGGTAATCTGTAATTAAATAATCTTTGGGTACGAGAAGTTTCGAGTTTTCGTTTTCGTTTCCGTTTTCCTTGCTATCGTAACATTTAACAGATTTACATAAACGTTATGTTGTTTTTCCGTGATAGCGGTTGCGCGGGAAATTTGCGCGCGGCCGGCCAAAATTGATCCCGTTGCGCATGCCCTGCGTTTGACTGCTGTGATTCTTTCACTGGGCCGAGGGAGGGCAACATTTCGTCTACCCAAATTGTAGATCTTTCATAAAAGTGAAAATCGAAGGAATTCTTTGGTTGATTTGAATGCTGCTCCTGTTGCAGGAAGTGGTTCTGGTCTTGTCGTCGGCTGGGAACAGCAGACCGGCACCCTGTTAGCATCAGGTGATGTTAGGTTCATTCGAGTTTGGGACACTCATCGAGAGATGAGGATGCAGGTGAGTGTTTCAATGACGCGAATACGAGAAAGCAGTTTCATGTGTGTGCATGCCTGCGTATGCCTTGTGTTACTTCTTCATTTAAAAATTGCCGTGGTTCTCGTTTAGAAAGTTACCTCTTGAGTACGAAGAATAGAGAAAAAGAGGTAAAGTTATAAAAGCTTCTAGAGAACTGACGTGAGTTTCCTTTCAGGTAAACAACCAATTAGTATAGTTTGACAACCGTCAACAGCAGAGCTTGAATGGGAAATCAAGGAAAGTTTTCTTTATTTCAGGACATTCCCACCGGTGCAGACAGCTGTGTGACGAGTTTAGCTTGTGATTCTGTGGGTAGATCGCTGCTAGTAGCTGGTTGTGGTGATGGGTCCGTCAGACTATTTGATAGAAGATTGCCGCCTAGCGACAGGTAGAAAATTTCTCCCTACAATATTAACATGAAGTTTCTTCTTTCATTATAAATACGTTACCAGACAGACAGGTAGTGCAGGTCAAGAAACCGTCTCAGCTGTTAGCTAAGTAAAGAAGCAAACAGATTTTTTATTTCACCTTGTTCCACATTTTGTTTTTGTTGTTGTGGTTGTTATCAATCTTAAAATGTTATTTTTGAGTGCTTTGGTCGCTCAGTCATAACAGTATCATTCTTTGTCTTGCAGCCGAGTAATGGCGCTTCGTGAGCATTTAGGCTGGGTTACTGGTGTTTTCTTACAGAAAGGTGGCGATGGGAACATCATAAGTGCAAGGTAAACAGTACATTTAAAATGTAGTTCCTCCTCAGTCGTCATTTCTTTTCTTCTCTCAGCACTCTCCCTCCCCTCCCCTCCCCTTCCCGCCCTTCGGACGAAGCTCAACAAAGATTGCGAGCGAGGCTGGAGGCCATGCTATGAGAACGGGAAGTGAGTATTGCATGAGCGTACCTTTGATTCTAATTCGAAACTTAGGAAGGAATATCGTTTTCTTTTCTTGTTTACAGTGTCGCTGGAGACGTCAAATTTTGGGATCCGCGTTTCACAGAATCAGTGCGAACCCTGAGAACTATCGGTAATGCGGCGGCGTTCGAGGTTCACCAGCAAGCTAAAGTGTTCGCCACGTGAGTATTAGCAGCATTGGTCCAACATTGGTCCAACATTAATCCAACATTTGTGTGAAAGTGTCGACAAAGGGTACTGCATCTTGTTTTTTTATAGCAAGATGAACTAGGGGAAAATGCAAGGAGGCAACTAAAATATTCCTTAGTATTGCACTAACTGCCTTTTCTTGACTTTGGAGAGATTAGCAATGACTTTTAACATCCGTTAATGGCTTCATATTAAAACTAAGGCAGGATTGCGCTAAGAGAATCAGTATGGAAAGCTCGACTTTTTTTTGGGGGGGGGGGTGAGGGAGGATGAGGGGGATAGAGTGGGTAATTGCCTCAGACTGGGTAGCCCATGACAGACTGGCTTCCCTGTTTCAATTTGCCTCCTGCTACAAAAACTATTCTTGTTCCTCAACGACACAAGCGCATCTCTGAGTCAACATGTCAGACTTTAATGTTAAACTCTTGTGAGAACACGCCATGAAAACACTGGCCCATTGTTTTATAATGGGTAAAAGATATGTTATTATTTTTTCCAGTGGTTCTGCAAGTCAAATGATCAAGGTATACAACCTGGACGGAGGGAACCTGAGTACCATAAGATATCACGACGGTTTTATGGGTCAGCGGATTGGTCCTATCAGCTGTCTTGAATTCCATCCGCACAGGGTAAGTGAAAACTGAATGTTTAGTGTAGAAGGTTGCGTGACAGACCTTAGCGACGATTGTGCGTAACCCTTTATTCAACAACAAAGGTATGCATATCCTCCATAGTGTTTCTTAAATATTTCCTCTGGTGCTGACAAGGAGAATTTGTTTAACAATCAAAAGCCTCTTTATTTTTGGTGAACATTTCCTTTTTTCTCATGGTCTCAGTGTTTGACATAGGGGTGATTTTGTAAGGAAAAGTTTTATTCTAATCACTCATAGAGGCTAAAGGGTTAAGACTGATTCTGTTGATGATTTCAGGTCCATCTGGCCGCTGGCAGCACGGATTCTTTTATCTCGATCTACTCAACTGAGAAGACTGAAAAGAAGCGGTAGAAGAAAATTAAATATTTGTACATTGTTTTAAAAAATGGTGTAGATAGACGAGTGATGACCTCTTAAGAAAGGACTCAGATATTTGTTAATAGAGTGCTGAATTATCATTAACTAAGGAGAGGACAGGATGAAAGCTAATTTAAATTTTTATCGCGGCTGCAAGAAAGGTTGAAAGGCAAACTGGGAAACAAAAGACGTGGTTCGCCCTAGTCTCCCGTTTGTCCGCCCCGTCTGATCGTGTGGTTTACGTGGAAATCTCCGAAGGGTTAGTTTTGTTTTAAAATTGTAGTGTTGCAACCAAAAGAAATAACTTGTACAGAGCAAAACCGAAGCGGTAGCCCGGTGGAAAGTAAATTAAATTTACAGGAATCAAAATGATGCTGAAAACATCAGGTTAATGAAATTTGAATTTGTGTTCAAAATATATAAACATTTCTTTAGGTATTGAAAGATATAAATATGAAATTATTTCACGAAATTTACGGTATTTCCAGGACATATGGTAGTATATACCAAAATGCAAAATGACTTGACGTTGAAAAAAAATCCTATTCTCGCCATATATTTTATACAAAACATATCACTTGGAGAAACCACATATATTTCCTCAATTTCTACAACTTGAGTATTGTTGGAATCGAGTAATGAGTTCATGTTTTACTCGTTTTTAAGAAAAATTGTGTTTATGTCTCTTAGCCTTAAGGTAGCAACCAGTATCATCATTCTGTTTGCCTGCATTTCACGCGTTATGTTGCTGGGAGAAGAAAATTTTTATTCATTGATTATCAGCTTTTTACCTTAACAGGAAATAGAAGGACGATTGTAGAGGATTTGACAAAATTCTTTCGGTATTGTTTTTGTTGTTGTTGTTATTTTTCAATCCTTAAACGGTCCCGAAGTGATAATATATATTTCCTCCTCACAATATCGATACATTACCCAGTAGGAGCTACTAAGAGTTGCAAAACTTATCCACTTATCTTGATGTGACACTTAATCCTTCTTACCGCAATGCATGGAGAATAGCTGAGCAGTTCCCTGGAATGAAAGGGTTAATTATTTTTGGTATTTTACTCGAAGAAGGCAAAGAGATACTGGGCATTAACCCTTTAACTCCCATGAGTGACCAAGACAGGATTGCTCCTTACAATATCAAGACAATATCAATCAGGCGTGTGATGAGAATGAGGAAAAATATCAATTTAAGGACTATAATCTTGATCCAATACCAAATTCTCTAAAGTAACATCATAATAATTATATAGCAGACAGTAAAGAGAATTACTGATGAGATCATGGGAGTGAAAGGGTTAAAGGTCAAGATCTTGGAAAAATGACCTTAATGAATGTACACTACATGTACGGTACACCTACGTATTGAGATTTAAAATGAAACCTTGGAAAAATGTAAAGGAAATGACAGTGGGGGAGTCTAGGGTTACACTGCAAAGCTTTTCCTAGCTATTGTGGCAATGAGAACTTTTATTGTAGTTTGTTGCTGACAGTTTAGAGTGGCAGCATCGTATGTGTTTGGTGAAAAGTGGTGTGGGAAATGCAATTTCGTTTCCAGGGCCTTTTCTCCATTCAGCGGAGCTGTTTCCGCAGAGCTCTGTTCAAAACCGAATATTTAACTTGCATGTTATTGGTGGGTAAAAATCGTGGCTTTGTGAACGAGATTGAGTGCAACTTTGCTGGCGAGAGTTGGCGTTCTATGCGCTACTGTTAAGGCAGTTTAGTGTAAATTTTCAGAAAACTGTTGTTCAGTTGAGAAATGTTTTACTATTCATAAAAGGAAAAAGCATCGACAATTCAAATAACGTAGTCGCGGGATGTGCGCATGTAGACATCAGGTTCATCTTTCATAATTGTATTTTTGTACATAGGGCTATTTTTAAAATAAAATGAAGTACTGATAATTATTTATTATCCGTAATACGAATTGTGATGTCTTTTTTTCACTAAATAAATAGCCTCTTTTTGTGATGTATCATTCAATGATGTATTGTTGCTTCTTGTGATGTCTTCTTGTAAATGTAAAGTGATTCAAGTTAGAGGGCGTTTTGTGTTTTTGTTTAACACCGCAGTTTATGTGGTAAAAATGAACACTATCCAAAACCGGTCTCAATAGATGAAAATATTTTACAAAGAAAAATATCTCGAAGAGAATTTTTTACAGCTTATTTCCTTTTGTTTGATTTGCTGTGTTCTTTTTATATATCTCATTACTCGTCGATCACTTGATTTGGCTGCTTCCGCGGGCAATGAAAATTATCACCATTTACATATTTAGTAAAAATTATCCTGCTATAAGAGGGTACGGCGTGATGTTTTAAAGTTCTCGCCATCGGCTTACAGCTGTTTGTGCGTCAAAGCGAAAATGTTTGCATCAGCCGTTTGCAAGTAACTTTTGGCTACTTTTCTTCAATTTCATTTCCGATGCATACGAAACTTAGATAAATAGATCTATAGCAGTTCCTTTACTTTTTGCCTGGTTTGCGGTTGGCGTTAACAGCATCGTCGATCTCATTATTGTCTTTGTTGACGTAAGTTTACCTTCATTGTGATATAATAGGAAACAAAATGCTTAGGGTTTAGGGTTAGGGGTTAGGGTTTAGTTTGGTTTAGTTAATTTGTGACCGAAGTTAAGAAAAGCATTATCAGAAAAAAAAGTTTAAATGTCCAATAAAAAGGGGGAAAGAAAGTTTCAAACTTTAGTCTACGAGGTGTTACGCTATCAACCGCTAATCAAACAGACATGATGTGCTAAACTGAAACAGATAGTGGTTAAATTAAACTACTGCAAATTATCATATGAAAGGTGCTTATTTCGATTTTCAGTAGTTTGACTTTATGTGTACTTTCACATTTCAGTGCTTTTAATTTTTCGCGCGCGCGCGACTGGGGCCCCGTGGTCTACTGATATTTTAAATTTCGTGGGAGTTCAGTTTTAAGCTGTCAGGAAAGAAGCAGAATACCCTAATACGCTTGCGTCAGCTGTCATTTTCTGGAGATACACTTCTTCATAACGTTCAGGCCAAGATCCAACAGCACCAATTTAGCTGCCATTCGTGTACGTCAGTAACTGGGAAATATGGCCACAGCTGTTCACTTCTTCAATTGCCAGTACGCAGACCCAGTCCCCACTCTAAACTATGCTCGTCCTTAACTCCTTTATCGTTGATGATGTTTCTCTAATGGCAAATGAGTTCCAATCTTGGGAATACTGCGATCCATTTTGTGTAAAAGAGCTCGTTCAAGTACCGAGCAGTCTCTTAAAAAGCGAGTTACATCCTCTTGACTTTTTTAGGCGAACCTATTTCCTTTGATTTGAATTCAGCATAAACGTCATAATGAATCAGTAGGCATTAGTTGATCACAATTTTCCCTCTGATATTTATCAATGCTGTGCTAGTTAACGTCATTAAAGAAAATTTTTGCGTTTTTCAAAAATTTGTCGGCCGATACGTTTATTCTAGAAATTTCATGATTTCCTCAATTTCCTCTGGGAATCATCAACCGTGACGAATGCACCGTGCCAGGACCATAAGGTCGCACATGTTCAACATTTGCATATTTAGTTTCAGAAGACAAAACAAGGTTTGTAGCTGCTGCCTCTTGTGTAGTATACGCGCTGTAATGCCATGTTCGTAATCATATTCACTAAACCCTCGGTCTCTTTAATAGGTGTAGCCGAGAAATTTTGATAAATCGCTTGAAGTTTAGAAAGCAAGTGTTGCTGCTCGCTTGCCGAGACATTCCGAGTCAAACTACATTCATACAGGAGAAGGATAAAATTAAACATTGGTTTAGAGCTCGAGGTAAGTGTTTTGTACAGGAAGGAAATTTCTTTATCTCATGTCATCCATTGCTGATCAAGAAAGGTTTTTCGAACGCTAGAACAGAATGAGAAAATGTTCACTTGGAATTTCACAGTCGGTAGAAATTCTACCTAACAGGTTCGAGCTGTCGCGTGAGTTCTGTCGCGACTTGCTCCAAGCGGCTTTGAATTACTGTCACGATGCCAAACTATAGTTTTGTGAGTATTCACACTTTCTCATTAATTATTAAGGCAGAGAAATTTTTGTCGGTAACTTAATCGGTGAATTTCTTCAAGAAGCGAGGCAGAATTCTATATTTTGGTTATCGATTCTGAGGGGAGCTTCATTGTAGAGGATTCGTAGGTGACTCACACGCGGAAATGATTTATTGCGATAAGCTTCGATAGTGGTGACGAACGAACCTGTTACCGGGATCGGACTTAAAACAACTTTTTACTCCTCTGAAGATGACTTCCACCTAGATTCTCGAAACTTCCGTCTAGGGACCGTCAGAACGGCTACGGTATGGGAAAACGTCGATTAAAAATTAAATTCTTAACTAACTTATTTAGAATTTGCGAAAAGATCGAGATATCTGTCGTTTCTTACGGCGCCTTACCTTAACTTAAGCGTTACATGGGAGCTAGCGAAGCGTAGAGTTCCAAATAAAAACGTAAATAATTCATCGTCTTAATTACCGTCACAAGACCACGCAAAGTTTGATGATTTCCTGAGGACGGCTTAGAATTGTACAAAGTTTCAAAACGCACCAGTCGAGCTATTTTTCTTGTCCATAAGATCTCCTCTTTTGGCATGTTCTCGTTGTTGTCGCCATCTTGGTTTCACTTAAGGTTCCCAGTGCTGCAGTTTACTATTGCCGACAACAGTCGTTCTCAGGAATACTCTCACCGCACAATCAGATTGCACGATCAAAAGAATTCACTTCTTGTTCAGCCGAAGTCAGTAAATGTTTTGGTTTCCGTTTCGTGGCATTGTTTTCAGTGGGGTATAATTTCCGTGAATCGAGGACTGTATAGTTAGAGTAGCTGGCGGTTTTTTCATGCGTTCAAGCGTCCAGCGGCAGAGCCGTTAATAAAAAGAAGCACGCGAAGCCGCGAGAGGTTTTGGACAGAGTCTCTCTTCATAACTGTTCTATTAGTCTTTCTCTGAGTCGGCCTTTTTCGTTTTTCCTCCTTTTTAGGTATTGAAAAGATTCCAGCTTTTTAGGTCACTTGGAATCCTACATGGCCTACCAAAGGTATAGAATATTATCCACAAATGATGTTTGAGCCCTGGAGCGAAATCTGGGATTTCATTGGTTTGTTAAACTTTGCTTTGAGATTGGTTTACAAAATATTCGTCATCCTGTCAACAGTTAAAGTGTAAAAACCAAGACAGTTTGCATGTCTTTTAATTTAAGTTCTCATTGGTTCATTGTTCTGACTGTAAATGGGCGTGTGGAATTACTTTGATTATTAGCTTACAATTTAGTTTTGACATTTTTGGGTGGAAAAGAAAATTAGATTCCGGAAAATTCCCGCCTGCAAAGCGAAGGAAAGAAGGAGGAGGAGCCTTGGGAACGAGGATCGATTCCCAAAGTTTTATATTTCGTCCATTATGTAGTGAATTTGTATCATTGACATGAACCATTTTGATATCATTTTCAGTTCCGTGTCTTTTAACGCCTTGCCATTTCCAGTACCACAGGTCAGTGAAATTGTTGTAATTTTATTGCTTATCATACTTTGACCTTTAACCCAGCTTCTTATGATGGATTATATCATCAAAAATGGAGTTAACTAGGATAACTAAAGAGCATGTAAGCGATTCAAGTCTCGTAGAACTTCCGAAAATAATTCCGGTTATCTGGTTAAGATCGATTTGGATTAGCAAGTTTCCCATAGCAACATTTTTTTTTTCTTAGAAAAGTTTTTCTGAGGAGTGTACGTAAATGAAAAGTTTATCCTTGATATTTTGAATATTATTTCTCAGTAGATTTTGAAATTGGAACATATCAAAGAAAAACTTGTGGGGGTCGAAAGTTTTACCGCAAATGATTTTACAGGGAGATTTGTTGCTGATATGACATGCCTGCCTACTTGCGATTTTCACGTCATCGGATCAAAACTTTGCACTCAAACCTTTGTTTAGTAGGCTGATAGGTTTCTCAAACCCGGCGAAAAAGTCTATAAGGAGGTTGTATATATTGGGTGGGTCTTCGGAAATTTGAGTAGCTAGTGCACCTCACGCCTTTGACTAACGTTGCAAGGTATATTATTATCAGGTATATTATTGCTCAGTAGATTTTGAAAGCGGAACATGTCAAAGAAAAACTTGTAGGGGTCGAAAGTGTCACCGCAATGAAAATCAGGAAGATTTTTTGCCGAAATTGTTTACAAATGCCTGCCTACTTGCGATTCTCACGTCACCGGATCAAAACTTCGCACACAAACCCTTGTTTAGTAGGCTGACAGGTATCTCAAACCCAGCGAAAAAGCCTATGAGGAGGTTGCATATGTTGGGTAGGTCTTCGGAAATTTGAGGAGTGCACCCCACGCCTTTGACTAACGTTGCAAGGTATAGCTCGATAGATTTTTCCTGATAAAATATCATTGACAAGTTTTTTTTCAAAACCTGACAATTTTTACCGACACAAGTTTATAGTTCACGGACAACTAGTCAACCCAAAGTTAGCTTTAGGAAAAACCCTTCTTCGTTTTACATCTGTCTTAACTGGGCAGTATATGAACAATCTTCAATTTTTTTTATGGTAGGATTTGCTCCTTTCAGCCCTTGTATCAACCAACCATGAGGAAACTCTGAAAAATGCTGATCGGTTTTTGGAGACCAAAGACTATCGTACTGCAGCTGCGCTTTACACTGCGGCTGTTGAATATCTTCAAGTTCCCACATCTGCTGAACGAGTAGCCAATATTCTGTGCAAGCGAGCTGAATGTTTACTTCGTTTGGTAATTTTGAATGATTCCTCAGTTGCTTTACGTGACTGGCTATCAGCTATTAGTAGTTTTAAAGACCGCTAAGTCATTCAAATAACTAGTCATAAAAAATTTCTTTAGTAACATAAACAACTAGTACGATGTGATCAGAAAGTAGTTCTCTACCAATTAGAGTGCGCACATTTCTATAATCACCTGAGCAATAATGCTAAGGTATGCTTAAAGACACCCACGCTTTCTGATTTGTCAAGGATCATTTAATCTCATTATATAATAATTACAATACTTTTGCTCTTCTTTCAGAATTATGTGCAACATGTTTTACATGACTGCGATGTTTGTAAGTACATCAAGTTGCGTAGTAGGGTTGGACAGATGTTCCCAATCGCTCTTCTGATGATGACACTAACAAGCTCAATTGACTCAAAGACTGAATTGTCCATTCCTGTGTCGCCTCTCCACTGACTATTTTAATTTGAGCGAGAAATGGAAAAGGCAGATAACAAATGTTTTCATATGATTAATCATATCATATTCGTTTATCGTTTTCTTTTCAAGGCGAAACCTTGACTGGTTGCGGAAACGAACATGTAGCCTTCCTGAGATTACGAGCTCTAGAATTGCAGGGAGAGGTGCAAGAAGCCTTCATTCATGCCATTGTCTTTGAAGCTCTCAATCCCGAGGTAAATTTTTTGTTCATTAATCTCACGTAGTATCAAATCAGACTCCTTCAAGTGATATTGATGCTCAAGTGACACTGGTGTTCAAGTGCTATCCAGAATGTGTGGATTTATTCTAGTGATATTTAAATTCTCTTTTTTTTTCGTATAGAATTCTAAAAACACTCGTAGTGCGGTGCTATAGCGAACCCTTTAGAGACTGGTCATTATAGATCGCCGACGGGGCGGGGGGGGGATTTTGGGGATCATATGGTTTTCAGGAGGGAACAGAGGAGACTATAGAGCATAAAGAGGGGACCATAGACGGCCAATTAACTGCCAATGATGGGTGAATCAGCTATCAGTTATCAGTTGAGTCGTGGCATACTTCAAAATATGTCAAAATTAGGGATAATTCGTGTGTCGTCTACTTTGACATTCATGAATTCGTGTGGCCCCCGGAACTGTTCCTACACAAACCTGACAATCAAAAGAAATCTCTCAGATCTCTCTAGACTAAAGTCATCATAACCAGCTCCCACCTGGAATGAAAGTGTGGCACAGGTGAAGAAGAAGAAGCAGCAATTTACGTTTTCTTATGCCAATCGAACCGTTTTTACTTTGCAGAAGTCAAGAGACAAAGATGCTGTGCGCAGACTAAGAACAAAGGTCAAATCGCTCTTCAGACAGGTATCGTTTTGTTATCTTCGTATGCTCAACGTCAAATTTTGAACAAAATCAGTTTGATATGTCAACAGTAGCCTCCATGTGGCGTGAAAATATTCTAGAATATTAGTCTGCGGACATAATATGTTTCCAAGAGCGAAGCTCGAGGAAATGATTGAGCTTCGAGGGAGTAGAATGGAGGCTATTGTATTTATCATCGTTCCAATGTTTTTGCAACACAGAACAAAACGTCCAAAACTCAACGCCGTTAAATTCTAAGCTAAACTTTTTCAGAGCGAATTTATGAACAAACACGGTTTCCGTTTCTTTCCGTTGGCTACCAACAGAGAAACATCCTCCAATCTTTGATAAACAATTAGGAATATTTTCGTTGCATCTCTCGCAAGATTTGAAAAGTCGGGAGTACCACTTGTTGAATATCACCTGATATTCGCCATTGTTTACCAGGGGAAATTAAGTGAAGTAACGCCTTTAAACCTATCGCATAAGTGCGAAAGTATTTGTTCAGATTATAAAGTTTGGTTTGGATTTGCCATTACGAACAGTGTATTGTGTGCCTTGCCTTTAAGGGTGAACACCAAATCTACAGAACCATCGACATCCTGATGAAGCAAGGGACGATATTGTTTGAAAAAAACAAATCTGATTTAGCTTTGAGTATCTTCACAGAGATGGTTAATCTTGCGCCTAGAGCAGAAGGAATACAGATGGCCCATGAATACCGAGCGCAATGTTATTTCATTCAGGTAAGAGTAGATTTGGTACAGACGAAAGTTATTATTTTCCAGCTAGTTTAAATGTACTGTTGATATATGTTAGATGGCAGGTGAATTATAAAAAAAGATGGCATTTTTTCAATTTCTTTGGTTGAAACCACAAATGATACACCAACAGTTAAAAATATAGGAATTCTATTCCAAGTGCACCTTAAACGAGATGACAAACGTCCCCCACTCCTACCCGGTAATATAAATTTGTAACTTGTGAAATTATTCAAAATTTTTATAGCTGTTTACACCATTAGTCTAGGTAACTGCTGATACTAGAAACAAGAGTGTTAACCAGAGGTTTATATAACCGCCGATTTTGAAACCCTTTTCTGTCTATAGGGGAAATTTTTACAAGCTGATCAAGACTGCAATCGAGGTGAGCCATTCTTGAATATGTGAGAAATATGTGAGGCTTTCCCGGAAGGGTGAGGGAAAGTTCTAACTAACTGTTCTTACAAATGAATAACCTTGTAGCAAATCTTTTTTTCTATCAGCCCTTAATCTGTCTGACCGTGAAAGTATCTCAGCTCTTGATACAAAGATCAAAATCCAAATGCAGCTTGGAGAGTTTTCCGAAGCTCTTGAAATACTCTATGAATGGCGGATGCTTATTGATCCTGAGGTGAGACTGAAGTTAATCCTCTCCAATAACTAGCTAAAGAAAATGATCAGCGCTGTGACCTGGAACACATGCAGAACAAGCCGGTCAAAGTAGAGCATGCGCAAATGAATCAATTTTGGGCAGCCGTACGCTATTTTCCCGCGCAAAACCATACATGAAAACATACGAAACTACTGGCGTCACCCAAAATTTTACAGGGAAGAAATTGAAACTTTCAGTGAAATCAGTGAGAAAAAAAATCGTGAAAGCGAAACTGGCTTGTCCAACACAAAGTTTATAAAATTGTTGGTATTCTGTTGTTTAATCAAGTGGTTGCCCGTTTCCCAAGAAATTCGCTGGTTTTGACCTTGAAACTTGGACTCTCTTCCTAAGGTTACGTTGGAATTTTTTAAAAACCTGTCTCTCAATTTACGCTATATACGCCG